AACCGTTATTGTATTACTCCGTCGGACAAAAAGAGACCGGACTGCACGGGATTTAAAAGCCGGTCTGGAGGACAAAAAGAGCGAGCAGCCGATACCGCAGGAAACGACCATGTTGCAATATGTAGGAAACCAAGTCGATTGTCACGTTGATGATATCTTGGGCAGTTGGTTCTACGATTTGGGCTTCGTATACGACGTGACGGCAAACGTTACAATTGGGATTGATTCAAGTATTATTAGCACTGCGAGTGCCTACCGATTTCCAGTGATTAAAATAATTATTCGACTTAAGTAATATTGTGTGTGTAGATATTTTTGTGTGAAACAATTGTGTACCTACTACGAATTTGATATGAAACAAAATGTACAACGTGTTGTATTAAGAGCACAACTCTATACGTGTAGATTGAAGTAGCTTAAGTAAACACGGTGAACTTGAATGAATTGCTGTCACACATTTTTGGAAAACAATTTTAAAAAACATAAATATGTTTTGTATTTTTGAAATAATAGCTGTTTTTATTATTATTGTTAAATATAATATAAACAAATAATTAACACAGACATTGTCTAGAAGTTTCCACCCGTAATCTTTAGTCTGATACATTCTTGGTTTTCAGAAGTTTGCCTAGTCTACCTACCTAATATCTACTTAGTAGTTGCGTTTTACTAGAAAGATACTATAATCACATTAAAAACCAAAAACTGTTGCTATTACAATAATATACGATTGAGCATTAATATAAGACTGTAATAATTGTATCATGTAATTTACTAACTTAGTTTTACATGCCTATTTTTGTACCACCGTTTTAACCATATTATTTGTTTACCTGTGAATTGTCGCACGTTCATTTATAGTAAAGTTTATTGTTGAAAACTTTGTCAAAATTACCTAGCACTGTCTTGACGAGTAAGTGATAGATGCTGAAATATAAGCCATAACCGATTATTTCTTGGATTTTGTTAACCGTAACATAATATATTGGTTTGTTAGCCACAATTTTAAAATTCAGTCACACAAAACGCGACTTGAGGACAAAAAAAGCAGGCAACTACCATCGATTGTTACGTTAATGGTGTCTTTGATAGTTGCTACTCAAACAGTTATTATTTTAATAGAACATGCAATCCAAATTGCATTTTAACTGTAACTTATTATTTTGATTTAAGTAAAAAAAAAAGTAAACTTTAAACATTTTTATACAAAGTGTTATTGTCGTAATCGATTTTAGTGCATTTAAAAAATAAAATAATTAGCAAATTGTTGCATAAACATAAAACGTAGTTGAAAATTATAGATTAATTGTTTTAAATAACATTTTTAAGTGTCGATAAAATTCAAGCATTTATGTAATATTACAGACGTTTGTATGTTATCATAAAATAGTAAATGCACTTAAAACAAATTAAGGGCAAAAAAAAAACATTGACTGACTCTTTAAAATTATAAGATAAAATATCAGAAACTTTTGTACCGTCAGTGTCTTCGTCGGCAGAGTCATTTTCATAAAGAGTGCCAAATGATATTTTCCGGATCGTTGAGGTCATGAAGCGGCTGAAAATAATCAGACAACTAAATACAATAATAGATCAAATTAAATACCTAACAATATGACATGTGATTTATTTTCAAGTAAGTCCTAAGTAGGATGTATTAAAATGTAATCATCGTTACATGTTTATTGAATATTTGATTATAGAGCAATAATATAATTATTGTTATATTGTTTGGTGGAGAATGAGTGTTAAAAAAATTCAAGTATTGACTTTATTATTTTTAGTTATACTGCGAGAAGTTGTTTTTATTTAGCTTTATCTCTTAAAAAATGTTGTTTACGCGGTAAGATAGTAATATATTTTATTACCAATTTTTTTTTTTTTGCCTGTTCTCAGCAGTACACGTTATGTCCAAAGAAAACGGATTATTGTTGTCTTTGAAATTAGCTTGTTGCGTAATGAAAAATGTACCGTAAGGAGTAATTTCGACTGGCTCGCCACAATGGTCGGCTTGCTCTTTATCACTACAATCGGTTCCCTTCGAAGCTAACGGCATCCAGTCTCCGAGCAAAAATCCGGCACAATCTATAGCGTCTTGACTTAAGTCGAGTACAACACCGACACTAGCCGTCTTGTCCGTGTCTAGGTCATATTTTTGTAACACGTTGAATGCTTGTATTGAATGGTCATCATAATATTACCAACATAGTCTTGTAGAGCCTGCAATTTGTTGAATGTACAAAACGTTTTGAAATACTACTCCATTTTGACTAAATACCTTAGTATTCACTTTTAAAGAGTATAAAGAGAATAATATGTTCTACAAAAAAAAAAAAAAACTTACACAGCGTTTATCTACACTCGTTGGGTATTGTCGAATGTTTTCGTTGGGATCTGTTATTTGCTAACACGTATGCATATTGTTTTTCTACACTTGGTGTAAAAAAACAAGCAGAGACCGTTGTTGTTGTTGTTGTTGACAAAAAACTGAAACGCTAAAAACTAGGTGAACAATATATTATACCGGGTGGTTGAAGATATTAGATTTTTTTTAACTATGTTATATTCATTATTATTTATGTATTTTTACATTCAATGGGCTATATTATTTTAAAAATATATTAAATTTGTACCAACTAATAACAGCTATAAACGTATAAAAACTAAAAGTAATTTCTCCTAAGTTACCGACTGGGCCATAGTTAAACAAGCACCCGGTATGTGTATCACCTATGTTGATCGTACAAACGTAATAGAAGCTCTAAAACGTCTGTATTCTGTCCACAGTACTCGAACAACCGAATAAACAACTGTAATAACATGCAGTATTTTATTTCATGCGCGTTGCTTATACAGATGATGTGTAAGTGGTTTAGCGGGGCCACGCAAGAGTTGTTGGGATTTGTGTGGTGTACGTTAGTATTAAGTTTGATTAACTGAAATGGCGACAATGTTAAAATGGGTACATTTACTAAAATAAGTAAATTATACGGTTTTGCGGTCGCCCAGTAGCGGATAAGCACAGATAACATAAAACCGGATAGTGACACTTTGTAGTAAAACAATAGATTTTTAAACAACGATTTTTGATTGATTTTAACTTAATGCCAGTAGGGCCAAATTATTTTGCCGAAAATATTGCACACACAATTTACAATAAAACGTTTATTATTTATTTATTTAAAAGGGCAGTAGCCCAATCATAATGCAAATTATCTTGGTATACAATCATTAAGATACAGATTATTAAGAATATACATTATACAATTATTAAGAAAGTAAACAATTTAAATACCCATTAAATCCATTAATATTTACACACGGTGAAAGTTCGACATCATACTTATTTACCAATTTCATTAACCAATAATTGTAATTTATTAAGTGAAGTTGGACAACAAATGTTTCCATTAAGTAATTTTAAAATGAAGCAGAGATCTAGCCGTGTTCGTCTTATTTCCAATATTTCAAGATTTAAAAAAGTTAGTTAATGGCTTATAAGAGGAATGGGGTTGTCGTTTATATTATCACATCTAAAAGAAACTACTCTCAAAAACCGATTCTGAATCGACTCTGCTGCTTGAATTTGACCAAATCACAGAGTTGTAATCCAAAATTGATCGTACATACCTATGCGCAATATAAAGATTTTAACGCGTTTGGATTTTTAAAGTCTTAACAACTTCTGCTTATAAAACCTAACATAGATGACGCCTTGCTTGGCACATTAAATGATAGCGATTTGTCAAAAAGTATACCTAAATCACTATTCTGGTAGACACGAATGAATTCAAGATCGTTTAAATAATAATTTCGAAGAAATGGGGATCTCTTTCTCGAAAAAGTCATTACTTCACATTTAGAAATATTTAAATATAATCTCTAATGGTCGAACCAAACACAGAGATGGTTTAAGTGTCATTTTGAAGCATTTCGGCATCATCAGAAGTTTTTTAAACGGAAAACTTCTCTTTGTTACAGGAAATTATTAGGATCGGATTAGAAAGTTCAAAGTTAGCTTAAATTAGTATTCTAATGGGGGGGGGGGCACAATTGAAATTCGAAAATCGTGCAAATAAGAACCACCCTAATCGCTTTCTATTTGATAAAAAATAGATTAACCACGAAAGAAAAGAAAAGGGGTTTCGAAAACCTAGACAATGTAATTTAAAAGCACTAATATTATGGTCAATTGTGTTAAACGCTTTTGAGAAATCCGAAAACACGTTAACCTGGTGGCCACTTGATCTCGTTTAGTGTTATCACAGCAATTTTTTGATTACACTTTACACAAATTTTGAACAAATTAGAATATTTTTAAAAAAAGTTTTAGAGTGCCACAATTTTAATAGTTGTAAATGTTTAAATTTGTAGGATGTTTTTATCAATTTTGTATTGGTTACATTGTGAAACCAATACCTTCTAAACTTTGCACTGAAGACTTAAGTTTAAATTAGCTAGGTATATTAAACTGCCGAGTTATCAAAATAATTGTAATCAACTTGCTTTTATCTTAATAACAAGTAAAATATTCATCCAATGTACATTTTCTCGCCAGAGTTAAAATATGCGATAGCTTTTGTAATGACCAAGATATTCTTCTTTTAGAAACGATAAACTGTAGTTTATCCAGTGTGCATATACTTAGACTTTAACCATCGGTTCGTTGTTGCACGTTTTCTTAATAGGTACTTAAAAACAATTTATACAAGTATAAGCTCAGAAACGGTATAGAAAAACTAATAAAAGCAATGTTGTTGTATCTAAGCAAAATAACAGATGATTTCCAGTAGTCTAGATTTTTATACAGACTCATAGAAATCTAAATAACGAATATTGTAATATTTCTACTCTACCATTGTTTATTTTATTTTTAATTTGATTGCACGAAAAAGCATTTGTTTTTCTAATAAACAAATATAATTTTAAATTTACTATTGATCCAATAAGGATGTTAAGGTGGAAAAAAGTTTTCCAAATCAATATAGTTACATCACATAATATGTATTTTAAAGTAGGTTAACTGTGCTGGTACTTTTTTTTTTTATATAACACTTAGTACAATACTTTTATGTTGTTAGTTTACAAGAATATTTTTCTATTTAATAAATAAATAATTAGTAATATAATAATAAATAAAAAAAAACTCTGGGGAAGCATACATATCGAATGTCGCAACGAAGAAAGTCGATAACTTGATTTTTGTAACTTTTGAGAAGGGCCAAACACAAAATTTCAATTTTGATTGCTTATTGTTATGGTTTTTTTTTAAATAACTTTTGTCATAGATAGAGAAAAGTAAGGACTATTCCTTTTTTGTTATCCACTCCAAATTGATAAAAATCAAGTTACGACTTTCTTCGCTGTGGCAGTCGATATTTACATCACTGAATATTGCTGATAAACATAACTATGTTAAATATTTTATATAAAGACATTCAGCTGAACCCATTACATTTTGTCAGAAGGAAAATATTAATTAAAGTAGCTGTTTAGAGTTTTCATATAAATATCAAAAAACTATAAGCAGATTATTAACGATTAGGTACCTAAGGTTTAAATGTCCTTAGGTTAGGTAAGGTTATGTGTTATGTGCTTATTAAAGATGACCTATAGCTAAATGATACTAAATGAACCCTTTTTATAGTTTCTGTACGGTCTGTTGGTATGCTTATGACTCTCTTTAGAGCAGAGCCGTGGATAAATGTTCTTTAGCATGCAGTGCACATTCGTAAGGTATACTAATAAGAGACCATATACGAATGCACTGCATGACTCTTCAAATCAGAACTATGCCTAAACATTCTCTTACGCATGCAGTGCATTCGTAAGGTCTCTCATTGGTATGTATGCACTCATGTAACACTAATTCAAATTTACATGTAAGTAGACATCATATTCATAGCGGCCGTATTCGATTCAAGTGTGTTTGTTAGTAGAAGTTTTTAGAGTTTCGATCTTTAAACTTTTTTTTTGTTCTTCTCTGTTTGAAGTACTAAAACATATAACATCATTTTTTTTTTATTAAATACAAGAGTTTAAAATTATGCATCGTAGGACTGTTAAATAATTTAACGATTGATATGATTATGTTAAAGATTTAAAAAAAAAATATATATAAATGTAAAGCTTATTACTGTTACACAAATTAATTGTAAATGTGTTAAAGCAAGCTTAACAATCTGATCTTGGTGCTAACCAAAAGAAGATCACAGTAGTGTGATGTCAACGTTTAGATTTGTCAATTTTTTTCTTTTACAACATCATAAAATTAGACTTATTGAAGAAATTTTCTTGTTCTGTCTTTTTATAGTTTGTTGATGGCTCCTAAGTTTTAAATTATTAATAAAAAACTTCATCGCTTAGTTTTTTTAATTCTATATTATAGGAAAATGAAGACAACGTGAAGTATCAGCATCAAACTATTCTGTGACTTCACTAGCAGTGATGATTTGTATATTTTACTCAAAATAAATAATCGATATTAATTTTATAAATATACATATATATTAGGGTGGCTTAAAAAAAGTTTTACTCTTAATGTTCTTTACCGTGTAAAAATATTATAAAATAAAAGGATTTTGCTCATTTATTTTGGAAAATATCTATTAAAATTTGTAGAAAAAAAATAAAAATTTAAAAAATTGTTTCTACAAAGAAAGAAAAGAGCTTATGACACTTTTTAGTTTGTCAATATATATACGTTATAAATGTATATGTATAAAAACATCTCGTACACGTTTCAAAGTAATTTGACTGTTTATAAAAAATTTACGATCCATAACTTTAAAGTAGAAAAGATACAGAATACTCACCACGGTTTCTTTATAACTGAACCTATTTGAAGTGCTTACTGTACTAATATTAGCCGTAGGTATGTCGCTAGTAGATGTCTATGAGAAATAATCAGAAAACAAAATAAAATAATTATTATTATTATTTATTCAGCATAATTATTATAGGTACATAACATTATATAATTACTTGAATCGACTATTTTCTATTATCATACTTGTATCAATCAAATGACACTTACATTTATGGTCGAATGTCAGGATTACATAAAATTCTTTGAGTCTGTCTGAGCAATTACTACAAAACATAACAATTTTTTAACATATATTTGACATTGCTATTATTATTATATATTTACCTTGAGTAATGACAAACAATATCATCAAGTTTCTTTTCGGTTTTTGAGTTGTCTAATTAACTGATCCAAAATTTTAATTTTTTTATTTAAACAATAGTTTTGCTTCCTAAGATTTTTAATTGTATGTTGTTGATTTTTAATTGTGTTATTAGAGGCATGCCAAAACTTCAAACGAGAATTTGGACTCTCCAATTCATCAAAAGATTTAAAGTCGCCAACAAAAGTTTTACGTTTCCTGTGAAGAAAAAAATACTTAAATAAAAACTACAATAACTTTATAAAAAGAAAATATATACTTAGGTTTATAAGGTGTTATTAATGAGTGACTTGTGCTAGGTTCATTTGGCACAACCTCTTCATCAGATTCAGACACCACCGTTTTACACGAGTCACATTTTTGGATATTTTCATCGTCCACTAAAATTTTAAAAAAATACATATAGTAGGCATGATAGTGTGAAAGTGTATACATATTATTTACTAATTACTTATAATTTACCATCATTCATATTAATTGAATTTAACTGCATATTTTGAGGACTAGGCAAAAATTCTTTGTCTTTACATGAATCATGTGTATCAAAATTAATGGTTTTATCTTCAGTAACATTGATTAATGAATAATTATGATCGTCCCTGATATTATAGCCTGAAACTAATAATATAACAAAATTATGTAGGTATTAATTACTTTATTGTAGTAAGCCTTTAAGATACAACAAGTATTAAGCCGGGTTTACACGGGTCGTTGAGCAAGAGCAATATCACTAGACCACTTAGACGAGACTGTAGAACGAGAAAGTATTCTTGCCTAGGTCACGACACCTGTGTGACCCCGGCTTTAGGCTATTAAATACTTATAATTTCCTTCAATTGTAATCAAAAATATAATATATTTATAAAAAAAAACCCTAGCTATTTTCTCCGCTCCACGGAAAAACATTGAATCATGAATTTATTTTTGGACAGTGAGTCGGCATGTCCACATTTCGCTTGGAACACGACTGGTGTCCCATGTTCATATCCCTCCCCTCCCTTTATCTACATTTCTCCCCTCCATTAGTCACATTGGCAATGTTTTTTTATCACATATGGTACAATTTTTTAATTTTACCAGACAGCGTTGCATATTCCGTGATGTAACACCAATTACCAAATGACCCCAGTCCAAAAATATATCAATGGTAAAAAAATTATTAGAAGTTACTTTATTTTAAGATTTATGAATAATAGTAACACAATGTTAGCTAAATTACTTGGCATGTTTTGTAAATTTCTTCCTTCTTCGTCATCAAAGACTTCGACCATTTCAACATTAAATAATGTCTTACAAACTTCTAGAATATATTGTTTTAAAATTATTTAATTGGTAAATAAGATAATATGAGTTTGATTAACAAATAGAATAATACATATTACTTTCATATACTTCCTACTATCACAAAACATTAATACAATTGTAAGTTCCATTTTTTTTTTAAATACACACACTTGGTATCAATTACATACATAAGAAAGAACATACCTGGTTTAAATACACTTGGCACAGCATCTTTTTTTAATACTTTTTTCCCCAGATAACTCAAATTATAGTCAGATTCCAGAAAATGACTACTGCATATCTTTGTATGTGTTGTCGGAAGAAAATCTGGTTGAAACATCCATATCGCATTTTTCCATTTAAAGAGCATTTCATGATTTTTAGGAAAGCTTTTGAAAAAAATTATATTATTATTAAAATGTATTATATTGTATTAATGTATAAGTAAATTAAATCCTAACTTACCCATGCATGATAATCTCTTTATTTGCTTTTATTTTACATGCACGGATTACACATTGATTAACCATTTTTAAACAATTAAAATACGATATAAAAAAGGAAAAAAATCTGTAGGAGTTCAAATAAAACAAATCTGACTTCTGAGCGAAAAACCGCCGTTGGTTAAATAATAATAATAATAAATGCAAATTAATTTTATAAGCAATATTTTGTTTTGTACAATTCGTTATCAGATAAATAAATGGACTGATAGTAGAGAGAGAGATCCGAGGGTCAACATCGTTAAAAAGAGATAGATAGATTTAGCTGGGTGTCTTAAATCTCATGAAATAAATAAATACATAATATTATATAATAATAATATCTAATAAGGAAATTTTAAAATTAAAATTGTTTATTATTATTATTTTTAAATACAACGTTAATATTAATAATTATTGTACCAATATTTTTTTTACATAAACTAGTTGTGTACTTGTTTAAATACAAATTTTAATTTAATATATCATAAGTCATAAGTCCACAGATTATGTGTATCTGACACATAATCATTTAAGTCATAACCATTTAAATTTTAACACCTAGGCTAAAATGTATTACTCCATGTCTTTTCAATTTTTATTCCATGGGATTAAAGCCCAGCTTTTCTCTCTATCTCTTTCTGTTGATATTGTTCCTCGTATCTCCATTTCATTCTAGTACCACAGAATAGGTGAAAGCAGAAGGGTCACTTACAGTGTAAACAAAAAAGCGGCGGCCATTTTGTAACGACTTATTTAGCGTTGTATGTTACATCTATACACTACAAATAATGATAATATATAGATATAAGATTATAGTGTTGTAGTCTTAAGAAGATGGCCGCCGCGGTTTTGTGTGATAAGTATCTTCCCCGTGTTAATTTTTATGAGTGTCTGGGGCCTGCCATATAGCACCACGATATGTATTCTCTGATAACGGTTTTACAGGTAACTTTAAACAAAATAGTACAGCAATTCGCTTGCAACTTGTCGGTGTAGTCATCAACTTACAAAAATTTAATTATTCATCACATAATAATAAGTATGAACTCTTCAGCCTGGAAAAGTCCCCGAATAAAAGCTGCCGGGAAAAGACTCGGGTGAGGAAAATGTTCAATACTTACGAATTATTATTCATTGAAATTCTCATAATATCACATCCAACTACAGTCCAGACCAAGTTCTAGTCAAAACCGAAAAAAAAAAACTTGGTTAATTGAATAAGAACTATTAAGTTTGTTTACTTAATTTAAATGTACTTGTAATAGGTATTATATTGTTGGTAAATTTCTAAATAGTATTAATGTACAGTTTTTTTCCTACATTTTTTAACTAACTAATTTTAACTAAATAATATATATAATAAATATTTGCTATTTTTTTACTCATAGGGATAACGAAATGATCAATGGAGTTAATATTAAACACGAATTTGATGAAATGGAAGATTATTGCTTTGAATCGTTGATACAAGTGGAAGAAACAATGCCTTTGAACATACAAGTAACAAACTGTTTAGCAGACAAAACATGCGAATTGTGTCTAGAATCGTTTACATCTATAAAGCAATTGAAACATCATATTACAACATCACACAATGGTATTTCTAAGATTAATGAGTTTTCAATTAAAAAAGAAGTCAATAATGGATTTGAGTAAGCCCGTTTTAAATCTCAAATATCTAAAAGAGTCATTTCGTATAAAACCAATCAAATAGCAACAGCGACTTACACGTATGATTTACCTATTATATGTGGAATAATAATATAGTACAAAATTTAACTGATCGATAGCCATGTTTGAATTTATATTTCTTGGGTTATTAGCATTATAAGATGGAGCCGAGAGGTAGAGCGGACTGTAATGTTGTTGTTATTATCCTCGTTTACTACTTTTCTGCATTTCACTGTTTTATTGTCTTCATCACTAACTTACCATGTAAACATCTTGAAATTTATAATTGGTGTTTGAGTTTTAAAATTTTAGCATCTATATAACTTAATTTTAAAAACTATTTCTTAATGTGAACCCTATAAATACAATTAATTACAATATTTGATAAAAATAAGATTTTACTTAAAAATGTTTTGGCTAAAATAAAAATATTATTACGTAAAATATAATTAATGTTTATATAGTGTTTTTTACTCATAGAGATAACGATATGATGAACGGAACTAATATTAAACAAGAGAATGATAAAATGGAAAAATATTACTATAAGTCTTTGATAAAAGTTGAATCAACTAGAGCTTCGGACATGCTAGTAACGCACGGCTTAGTGGACGAAATATGTGACTTGTGTCTGCAGTCATTTACATCTCGAAAGCTATTGAAACATCATATTAGAACATTGCACAATGGTCCTATTTCTATGACCGATGAACGTTCAATTACAACACATGTCAAAAACAAATTGAAGTAAGGCATTTTGTAATCATATAATATATTTTGTAAAAATAGTCATTACATAGTTTGTATAATGTTTAAAGTTCTTCGGTATTGTTAATAGTAAGTTAAAAGTAATTAACACTTTTTTACCTGTATATTATGTTTCTTTATTAATTTAAACCAATATTTCTTGAGTTATCTATGGGTAAATAGGTTTTAGGCGTATGGGTTTCATTGGCGGTATTTATTACAGCTTCTTTCACGGAGTTAAATTCTGTTTGTTATTTATTTTTCTTGTCTAGGAATCATCTGAGCAAAACCTGTGATGTATATATTTCAGTGAACTTTTTTTTTTTTATTTGGTTTTGTTTTGGTTTTGCTCTGTTAGGCAAACAGGTCACTTGTTTTTTCATCTTTTAAAATGTTTAGGTCAGATTTGTTTGGTCTATTGTTTTTCACTTGATAAAATTAATTGTTTTGAACATTTTTTTGTCGTCAAGTTACACATAGTAGAAAAGTCTAACTTTCTAGAAAAAAACTTTCTAAACCATGCAGTAAACTGATTAAAATCTTTTGAAGCTTTAAATAATTATGAAATGTACATACATTTTAATATTGTCAGCAAACAGAAACTGCGACAGTGGTTCAAAAGACGATGAACACTGTTAATAAATAGTGAAAACAATAAGGAGACAAATGTCCCCCTTATGGGACACTGTTCAAATTAAAAATGTAAAATAGTTAACTATAATCTATGAAATATATGAACTGAAAAAATCTTTTTCTTGTATAAATTGGTACTCCGATATTAGGTCAATATACACAATATTAAGTTTAATATACAATATTTAAGATTTGACGAGATGAACAACCAAACTGTTGTAAAAATTGAAAGAGATGAATTAAATGGACATATTTTTCAATCTGAAATAGAAATTGTGAACACTTTTTTGTTGGATGCTTATCAAACAAACTCACCGATCAAACCAACAGTGAAAAATCAATTTAGGTAATGTTCATTTTTTAAAAAAATAACATAATGTATGTCGTTTGCTAACTACTTAGCTAAAAAAGAGTTAGGAAGTAACAAAGTAAGTTAGAAAAGTCAAGACAATTACTAAACCTGACAATGATATTATAAAAATTAAATGTTTTTTGGTGTTCACAGATACACATCAAACATTTTTCTTTAAAGTGGTTTGTTAATTTTTTTAAACCAATAGACAAAATTACCTTCATCACAAAATTACCTTGTTTGCTGTGTAGTTTTTTTATTCCCTGTAATTTTATCTTATGTTTTCCGACAAACATTGTTGTTCCAACAATAATAAGTAAAAATAAGGGGATTTAAAAAAAAAAAATACAAATTAAAGATATTATGGTTACAACATTTTTCTCATAATTATTCTTATAATTTCTTCAAAAATTACAGTGCATTTAATTATGAATTTAATTTTCAAATAATACATTTTGTAAAAAATCATATTTTCAATTTTTTAATATAAGCATTTAATTATGTTTTAGAGTTGAATCGATGGCCAGTGACGACTTTAAGTGCTTTACCAATGGGACTCAGATAGATTCGCATAGCAATCAGCAGGGTTTTATCGAAAAATCAAATAAAGTTTTACAGAAAACACGTATGTTCGTCTGCAACGTGTGTCAAAAATCGTTTGCTTCCAAAAAACTAATCATACTTCATTTATCGTCATCACACAGTCAATTCTCCAATATTAAGCAGAAATTCCAAAAAGATGTCAGAATTCCGGTCAGGCGTGTTAGAAAATATTCTCGTAATGATAATAAAAAGACTGGTAAGTCTAAATTTAAATTACATAAACGCCTGCGTACCGTCAAAAGACAATACAAATGTAGGGTTTGTGAAAAATCATTTTCCTATAAATCTACTCTGAATATACATAATCGCGTGCATACTGGTGAAAAACCATATGAATGCACTGTGTGCAATAAAACGTTTAGCAGTAAGGGTAATCTTAAAGCACATTATAACGTGCATACCAGTAAAAAACTATACGAATGCGATGTTTGTCAAAAAAAATTTAAGCAAAAATATGCTTTTGAAAGGCATATGCGAGTTCATAACGTTAATAAATCATTTGAATGCACTATGTGCAATAAAGTGTTTAGCAGTAAGAGTAATCTTAGAACACATTATAGCGTGCATACCAAGGAGAAACCATACAAATGCAGTGTTTGCCAAAAATTATTTAAGCAACAATTTGCTCTCAAAAGGCATTTGCCCGTTCATACCGTTAATAAGTCATTTAAATGCACTGTGTGCAATAAAATGTTTAGCAGTAAGGGTAATCTTAAAACACATTATAACGTGCATACCGATGATAAACCATACGATTGCAATGTTTGTAAAAAATCATTCGTCCGAAAATCTGCTCTCAAAAATCATATGTGTCGCAAGCATACCGGTAAGAATCCATTAGACAAAAGAATGCACAGATGTAGTGTTTGTGAAAAATCGTTTTTCTATAAATCTACTCTTAAAGCGCATAACCGCTTGCATACTAGTGAGAGACCGTACGATTGCGACGTTTGCCGAAGAACATTTAAACAAAAGTGCAATCTAAAAGTACATATGCGCGTGCATGCCGTTAAGAAACCGTTCAAATGCCAAGTGTGCAAAAAAACTTTCAACAGTAACGGTTACCTCACGATACACAATCGAGTGCATACTGGCGAAAAACCGTATGAATGCGTTGTTTGCCGCAAATCGTTTGGCCAAAACTCTACCCTCAAGACGCACATGCGCACGCACACCGGCGAAAAACTGTACAAATGCTCTGTGTGTAATAAAACCTGTAGCACCAAGGGTAATCTCAAGTTGCATAACCGTGTGCACATCAAAAACAAACCGTATTCGTGCGACGTTTGTCATATATCGTTTGCAAAAACTTCTTTTCTTAAAAATCACGTTTGGCGCAAGCACACTGGCAAGGCGCCATTTGAATGCACCGTGTGCAATAAGACTTTTAGCAGCAATTGTAGTCTCCGGACACATAATCGCTTGCATGCCGTCAAGAAAATATATAAATGCGGTGTTTGCCGAAAATCATGTGTCCAAAAATCCAGTCTCAAATTGCATATGCGCGTGCATACCCGTGAAAAACCATTTGAATGCACCGTTTGCAAGAAGACCTTTGGCAGTAAGGGTAATCTTAAAACGCACAATCTCGTGCATACCAAGGAGAAACCATACGAATGCGTTGTTTGCAAAAAATCATTGAAGTATAAATGTACTCTCAAATCGCATATGCGCGCACATACTAACAAATAGTATAGTAGTGTACCTACCTACCACTATTCATAATCAAAGTGAGAAACACAAAAGGACAATAGAATAATAATAATAAAAAATATATCTTCAACGGCATACTAACCGTACAACGCTTATTAAGTGTCTTTTTAATTAATTTCTTTAGAACTTTATTTTACATTTGTGACAAACTATATAGCCACATTATATTTCAGAATGTGGAAGTTTAAATTTATTATTTTTTGTGTAATAAATCAAAAAACTATTCGAAATCCATGCTGCCTTTAACCTGGTGGGCACACAATATAGTTTGGCACGGATAACGGTTAAATTTAAGAATTTACTATCAAAATTAATATATATTATACATGTATTTTAATAATTTTTTTTTTAAATATTAATAACTATTTATAATATGTTGTTTCTAGATAAATAGTTCATTATATCAATATATAATATGCTTATTTTAGTATAATTTATACAAACTACCTATTCAAATTGTACAAAATAATATATGTTTAAAATTGAAGAAAAAAATTGTTATGGATATATTATGTGTTCATAACTTTATTGTATCTATTTATTCCTAACGTTAGGAACCTTATGTACAAATTGCTATTGTATGTAATGAATTATATTTTTAAAAACAATGTACTTATGCTTGTGCTTAAGTATACTAATCTCTGAACTATATTTGTAATTAATTAACCAATAATTAACCAACAAAATTAGTACATTATTACTTTGTATCTTGTCGATAGGATTATATTTTAATTTTACAGAGTTGTAGTACTAATAATTTACAATTATATTTGCCTTTTGTGGCAATTGTTAGGTGTCTAATAAATTTTGGTGTTGAATAAAAGAATAATTTTTAATTATACTTATGTGTTCTTATTAATTTATAACAAAACATAATGTATTCGTTTAGTATATTTGTTAATTAATTATAAAATAGTTAAATATTTGTTAAGCCCCTTTATCATTATGTTGACGTGACAACGTGTCATTGCGATCATTGATCGATGATCATTATTCATTTGAGATCATTAGGTAACATTAGGCCATAGATGAGTAAACAAACATAATAGTTTATTGCTGTTAAACATGCATTTTGCAGTTACGTTTCTAGTGGCTAATCAACTGAGGGTGAAAATTGATATTTTTAGTTTTTAATTTACTCTGACTCTACCTACTACTTCAAAAAGATCTCTCGCAAGTTTTAAAATAGTTCTGCTCAAAAAGTTGTAACTTAATTAATAAAGTTGTAACAATAATACTTATATGTTGCTAAAAAAAAAAACTACTTTGCAAAGTGATAAGGAAAATTCAAACTATTCATCTTAGTGCCAATCGTTAGGTTCTTGGCACATTTAGATATGAATAGATATTATAGTGATTTGTGTTAAAATAATTATTTACATAATATAAATGCATATGCATATGCATGATATTAGAAATATTAATATAATATTCAAACTGCATTGCTAAATATTATTTTTATCAAAAAAAAAAATGTATTATTAAGAAAACGCCTAACATATTAGCCATTAATATTATATATAGGTAATTAAATACCTACAAAAAGAAATTTTAATTGATACAAAAAAAGTTGGTGACTATTTAAAACTTAAGTTAGCTCGTCAAAATTGCCTTGTCAGTTATCACTTTGACGGTAATAACACAAAAATGTCCAAAAATTGTTTTGGTTTGTAATCGTTTGTTTTAAATAAATATTCCATACAAATTTGGAACTAATTTAACTAGTTTTCACAATGTTTAGATGAATTGTAGTGCTCTAATGAATAACTGAAATGTGCACGTCTCAACATTTAACAAGTAGGTAATCCAGTAATAATGTATATTATATTATATATATTTTAAATACAATTTCTTAATATGTATGCAAATAAATTGACAACATAAAAATTACAAAAATTAAAAACTGTAATAATAATAATAATACAAATTTACAAATAATTTATGTAAAACATTCGCTAATAAAATCATGTGACATATTTTATAGGTTTTTATTTAACATTAAAATGGTCATAAAATGGTTAAAATCATTTAATTAATATGAAACAATATATTCTATTAAAACTTAAGCAGTAGCACTTGTTATATTAAGTGGCAGGTACTTCATCCATTTTAATACACAAATTAGTAAGCCAAATGAAAATACAAATAATACAAATCATTGACTAAAAATCTAATGGTGGTGCAAACGTGTGTGTTTACTGTGGTTGGTATTATCAGAAAATGCCTTAAGACACACGTTACATTTAAAAGGCCTTTTCACCGGTGTGCATGCGTTCGTGTCTTGTAAGTGAGATTTTATGAGAAAATGACACATGGCACACAGCACATTTATAAAACTTTTGTCCGATGTCATTTTTGATGACTGGTTTTTCAGTGCAATTTCGATTTGTTGAGTGTGCACTGTGTGACTGATTTATGTGTCGAGAAACTCTCGTTTTGGTATCAAATGACTTTTCACATATATCGCAGACAAATGGCTGTATCTCATCCATATCATAGTTCGCATCTAAAAGACAATTTTTCTCAATTTCAATCACGGACTCGAAACAATGTCCATTCCTAGGTCAACTTAAACTTTGACTACTGTTTTGTAACAGTTCTTCTGACACTAAAAACAAAAAATATATATATTTTTTAAAGCTTAAAATAGAGTAGAAAATACCTAACCTTGCCTACGAGTACTAAATTTTAATATAGAATTATGTACTAACTACTAGCAGTGGAACCAAAAGTTTGTGAAATTAATATTTAAAAAAAAACTGATATGAGTTGTAAATTTTAAGAATAAGAATAATTTTTTGTTATTAGGTGGTTTTACTAGTGCACATTATTTTTTTTTTCACATGTCGACGACATCATCCCAATCTGCACGTGTTGTTAAATATTACATTTTTATTTATTTTAATTAAAGTTGTTAATATTTAATGAGACCAGACTGGTTAAGTTAGGTTAATAGAAAAAAGAAACATAGTAATGGTGTTAACACCATTGTTAATTTATATTGTTTTGTATCGGAAAATATTTCTTAACCTATTTAACCAAAGTTAAATTTTTTTTTTTTTAACAAAATGTATTTCAAATTTTTTAATCATAAATCACATTACTTATATGTATCTCCATCAATATTTTCATGAGGTTTGTTGAGGTTCGTCAGACAACTCTTTTCAATGTTAACCACTTTATTTTTTTGCACTAAGGCTCTGGCAAATTGTTCTTTCATATTCACATTTTCTTCCTCTATTTTGATTACGGTTACGCAGTTGTAGTCATCCATTGTTAATGATTCTTAGCTAATTTCTCACTTCTTTATCTGTAGAACACAAAACATATATTCATAAATAAGGATAGGAACTGATAATACATCTCTCAAAATGACTTTAGCCTGGGATTAAGCATATTCTATGTAGCATGAGTCAAGGCTATGTGAATTGTGTCTTTTGTAGAAAAACTCTAGTAAAATTAGTGACGGTTGATCACGTCAGAGTGGGTATCAGCATAAAAAAATTGTGGAAGAAATAAAAACTAAACTAAATAACTTAGAGAAAAAAGCCCCAAAAATAGGATCTTTTTTTAAACCTCATATTATTATAAATAAGGTTGACACTACACGAGAAACGCTCGCTAGACAATTTGTAGACTAGATAAATATTTATATTAAAAGGCGGCATTTTGTTCAGATCTTACAGCACAATGGTTAAAACCGTCACTGGTACATGGAATTTTAATACTTAACAATTATAATCATGTTGAATGTTTTTTCCGAGTTCAGCGAGTTATTAAATATAAGTAGTGACGTATGATGCACAATATTGTAGTAAACTAGTGTTATCGTCACTATTGCCATTGATAGAGCATCTCACACGTTTTTACGTCTAAACGAATGTATGCAAATGCTAATCATTCAAATTGTTAAAAAAAATTCATATTAAACCCGTAAACTGTAGATTACCCATTAATTTATTAAAATCAAAAATATAAACTATAAAATCAATGCCAACATTGGACGATACTTACCTATTCCACTCGGCTGTCCCAAAAAACGAAACACAGTAACTACAGAAGTCAAAATTGTTGAAAGGAGCGATTTTACAGATTATATCAGGCCGCTATTAAGATATAAAGCAAGAAATATAATTATTCATAAAATTGATATGGTCTGTTGATTTTTTTTTTATCAAACATTCACAAAAGTGAAAATTCAACTTTGATAAGAGATATTTTTAATGATAACGCGTGATAAGAAATAACAGAGGCGCCGGCAGGCTGGAGGTAGAACGCAGTGAAGGTAAATATTGAAACGCCACAAATATTTAATAATACAATTATTGTACTAGCCAACACCAGAGGCGAATTGGGTCCTAATTTTATAAAAAAAAAATAAAATGTCTTATACTTACTTATATTCTGTATATTTATATTTAGTAGTTATAAAGAAAACCATTTTGGGGAAATGGCGTTAAATAAACTTAAAACGCGTGGAAATTTGTATTTGATTATTATTTTTCAAATAATATTTTTACGTCAGAGTAAGTACGTTACAAAAATAATATATTAAACAATACAATTTAATGTTAGTGTTGAAAAAAAAAATAATATTTAAAAAAATAACACATTGACCGCATGCAATCTCCTTGAGTATAAAAACTTTTTTTTTTTGAATATTTGAACAATACATTTGCACATTATTTTTCTTTGAATTTAGAATTATGTTAATTATAAAATATAAGTTCTCAATCATGCCAAAGGTCATTATTATTTAACAGATCGTATCGATTATTTTTTAACAGAAACATTATTTTTAGAGAAAAAAATGTATTCCATTTTTTTTTTTTTATTATTTATTTAATAACCTAGTTTATTTGTAAAATTTTTGTTTTTTACAATGTACCGCATACCTACTGCTTATAATTATTTCGATTTCTTTATTTCGGATTTATTTTTTGTATGACTAACAAGTAATTGTTTAAACAAGCATGGAAAATCTCTCACTAAATTATGTTTTCCTCTTTGTTCAATAAAATAATTTATGACGTAAGAAAATATATATACAGTTATTATTTAGAGAAGTAACGAAAATAATAAAATCATATTATACAATTTTTCAAAAGATTTGAAATAAAAATGAAAATGACCGGTAGACATTTTTATGTGGCGGAAAAATTGTCTTTATTTGATTTTTTTAACCGTACTTTTTTTACTGTACAGTGTAAATCTGTTACATGTAAAATTGGTTTTATATTTATTCTAACAGAAAAAATAATTTTCAAGGACGAAAAATACTGTGGCAACTTGAAAACAACAATATGCATAATGTTATAAAAATTATTGGTAGTATATCGAACAAAAAAAAAAATTGTTTTTCAGTGAAATATTTTTGTATTCGAAAAAAATTGTACAAATAAGAACACTTACAACGACAACAACTGCAGAAAACAGAAAAATGGTTTCGTTTTAACAGCAAATGAATAGATTTTCAATTTAATCTTACGCGTCGATAAAATATATATTTATACTTCTTATTGCAAATTGAGAAAAATTTTCAAACATTTTGGCTATAGTATAAGGTTTTGTTAGTTTAAACCCAAATCCAAAATTAAGAAATCGAAATAATTATAAGTAGTATGGTACATTGTAAAAAACCAAAATGTTACAAATAAAATATGTTATTAAATAAATAATAAAGAATGTAATACATTTTTTTCTAAAAATAATGTTACTGTTAAAAAATAACCGATACAACCTATGTAATAATAATGGCCTTCGACATGTCTAAGAACTTATATTTTATAATAATTATTAACTCATTTCTAAATTCAGAGAAATAGAAATTATTTTGATACGCACGTCGTGCATTGTTCAATTAAACTACTTTTATTTACCGATAATTATAATATTTTAACTGTCAATAAATTGCCAAAAAATAAATAATTATGTTCACTGCTGTTTTTTATTTGGAGCTTTTTTAGTAAGCCATAATGGGATTTATTTAAGGCTGATGTATATTAATAATAATTATTTTTTTGGCTCAAGGAGACTGTTGCGATGATTGCAATTACTATTACACTTGCTAGGATTATTCGGGAAATAATATACCATGCAAAAGCCTTTTAACGTTACTCGCACGCATGTATCTAGTATTTGTCTAGCAAGGCATATAATGTACCGTAGGTGTATTATAATACACGGTGTAGTTTTAAAACGGTTAACGTCGCTTAGACTTTGTCAAAAATCGAAAACAACCGATGGCCTCTTAAACGTATAAGTAGAAAAAACAATGTGCACGTGACTCGTGTATTGTTTAAATATTCAAAAAAAAAAAAGTTTTTATACTTGAGGGGTTTGCATGCGGTCTGTTTTTAAAGAGTATTCTGTAGGCAATATTTAAGGAAAAAAATGTTTTCATATATTTCGACCAATTAAATTAATTTACCGGTTAATTTGTATAAGCTTCAAGTTTTTATTTTTAATTTAAATCATTTTTTTCTATGAGTAACAGCTATTTATAGGTATATCTTAGACCAAAAAGCCAGACACACTTGTCGACGATATAGTATGGTCCAATTTCAATTCTGTAAAGAGATTCCAGTTCTTTGGCTAATTTATACTTTGTTATGTAGGAAGTAGGTCTTCATTTAAAAAGTGCAGTTTCTTGTAATTAAATGTTCAATGTTTTCAATATTATTAAAACCCAATTTTTTTACAAGAAATTTCCATTTATCAAGCTAACTTCTTATTAAAAAGGATTTTTTTTGTTAACTATATTCTGAATTATAAAAACATTTTAAATTTTAGTTCTAGCTTTAAATGTAGTTTAAAACGACAGGACACTGTAATTGTTTACTGGAAAGATCTGTTATTTCAACCTGCTAAAATAGTCAAACAAAAATCCAAATATACCATTGAAAGTGCTGGATACGGCCATGAACATTACTACTACGTACTAGATGGTATAATAACAAAAACGAGTAAACGTTTTCAAAATTTTACCCAAAAACGTATAGCTGTAATTACAATTGTATGACCAAAGTGAGAGTCTGAGTTTACGGTTTTTCTTATGTTTTTCGATAAATATTATCTTGACACCATACGACTGGCAATATTCTTTATCATCAACACGATGACTATAATTGGACTCCTCTTACTTAAGATGGATATGTGATTTAATAAAATATATAACCAAAATTTGTATCATTCGTTGTTCTACTTTGATCTACAAAAAAAAACTTTAAATCGAGTTACAGAATTAAAAAACAAAAAAGTAAACGTCCTATTCATAAATACACTACACTGATGTTTTATGTTGTTTGTTAGACCTATCTTCAGACTATTTATCAGTTCTTAAATCTTAAAAATGCACCAAAAATATGTCAACCTTCCTCGCAGGGGGGTAGGGGGTTGTCAAAATTTCGGTTTTTCCATGTGCGATTTTGTTGATAGCACATTTTATATTGAAAATGCTAAGGTTATAATAAATCGAAAATATTTTCAAAAAAACATAAAATTTCGGCACTTGTGCACACATGAGAATGTCTGAGTAATTTTTTTTTCCATCGATAACTATTCATACATTTTAAGCAGAAAAAAACGTCGAACTAACGACAAAAACAATGTATAAAATTATCAATGTTTGAATTTCCAATTTTTTTTTTTTGGTTTCTTTTGCACATCTTAGTGTTACTTTTTACACGTTGAAAATCCAAAGGTCATAGTAAATCGTCGAAACTTGTAAATGTTATCGGATGGATACACTATTAACATACCATTTGCGCACATAGATATTGTATTATTATAGTATTGTACGACTACTGCCTGTAATAGTCAGTAAAACAAATAGTAACCTAACCAAGTATAGCTATCGACGGATATTCACTAGGGAAAAAAACCATTAAAATTGGGGTCGGGACGTTAGTTGGACCGAACTGACTGAATGTGATAAAATCACTTTTAAAAAATGTCATTAAAACCTTAAACTTATGCTTGAGCACTCAAAACTTACCGGCACCACTCTAAATAGTATCCGTTAAAATATTGGCATGATTTAATACGTTTTTTTTTTAAACATTTAACATCTGCGAAAAACAGTTTTCCGGCAATTACAAAAAAAAATGTACTCTCGAATTTTTTTATTCGTCTAATACATAATGGATACATAATATTATGAGTTCTTACTCCTGAAAAATGTTTTCAACTAATAGGTCTTATAGTTACGGCTAAAAAAACAAAAAAAATTGCACCCCTAAAAAAGTAGCAGTCTATGCAGACAAAAAAAAAACCAACACCATAATGCAAATATATTTCAGATACCAGCTGTGGATTGTTAATTCACCCTTACTCATTGCAACCTACAAACCTACTACCGTAACATCGTAATTCCCCCCTTTAGTTTGGTTTTCCCCAATAAAACAAAGCTTCACTACAGATTTTTAAGTAAATTTTATGTGCCCCATTCTAGAAAAAACGTAAGGTATACTAAGTAAACACAACTTTTTTTTTTTAATAAGTAAAAACTTTACTATAGCTATAATCGATCTCGAAAGTCTTTTCATATTATTTTAAACGCCAATAGTTAGAACCGCGTGTCTTAAAAATGTACTGAGTTATACTAATTAAAAAAAAAAACAGTAGATATTGGAAAAACAATTTATAAAAACTATCACTGTGTCTTGACTTAAATATTTTTCGGCTATTATATTTTCGGTTAATATATGTGTTCGGTTCTAAATTTTTTCGAATAATATTTTTTCAGAATTATTATTTTTGGCATATATATATTTATACCTAACATGATAACTAATACATAGATATGAAAATATATAATACAAAATAAAATAATATTGAACTATAATTTATTATTGTGTTTTTGGAAGTTGTAAAGTATTTAAGTAAATGTATTTAATTTTATTGTCGGGTATCGATTAGTTTCGTATGAGGTATTCACGATGTATTGTTTTAAATAGTAGGTATAATACATCGATATTAAATAATTTAAAAAAAAAGTATAATTTCATTGAAATTTTATCAATGAACATTCTGTTTTACTTATTATAAAACTTGTAAGTATGATTTGAAAAACATTTTTTTTTTACAAACTCAAGAGACAATTTATTGTTGGTAAATTATCACTATTATATAATATTGTAAATATTGTTTTACATACTTTTGGTTTTTTTTTAATATAAATTTCACTAATAAAAACTGATTTGATTATAACTTAAATAAAAAAAACTCAAAACTGTATTTTTAAATGTTTAAATCGAAAAGAATTCGACAACGTACTTAAATAAAATTTTAATGAAGTTATTTTTTTTAAAGGTCTATGATATATAATATCAATTTTATAAGTCATTATATTTGATAGTGGTCTTACAACTTTTTGTTGTATATTAATTATCATTATTATTATAAGTAAAAGTAAGTCAAAAGTAAATGTAAGAAACTAACACAGGAGACGGGTCACACAGTGAATTAAAAATATTCCAAGCCTTTTGCATTAATTATGAAATGTACAAGTTTTCCCCTTTAAATAAACAATACTAGCCGCACAACATACACGAATAATAATCGTGCATTTTTTATAAATATTGTATATGTTGGTACCCCTTCGAGTGGCTGTTTGTCGAGTGGCTCTTTGAGGTGATTAGAGACAACACACAACAACGCAATGATTATGAACTTAGAAACTATGCCATAACAATTTCTGTTATCAAAATATTGCTGGCTCATTTATTCCTAACTTCATACTCGTTGAATATTTACTATCTTTTAATTGTGCACATAGATGTAATATATTATAACTAATGTTGTTGTATATATCTGTGGTTGTGCACTACATCGTTATTTTCATTTAAGTGACTATGATATTTGTCCTATGTCTTGACCAACGTGGCTCTAATTTATTTTAAGTGTTATTGGACATTGGCGCGTTTCTACATAAATAATGAAAACCTTTAAATCAAGAGTCTAATTTATACTTGTTGTTGAGAACGGAGCTTGGCTAGGGTGCTGCTGTCTCATCATAGCTGTTGGTATGTACTTGGTAACATTATCATTTGATTACATTGTTTTATTTGTTTATTTTTATAAAATAATTAATAAATAGATATCTACATTTTTCAACGCATTTAAATTATTTTCTATAGATCACATTTTAATCTTATGGTCTGGTGTTATCACCTGTTGCACACGTTGTACGGGATAACTGTGACAGCTATACTATTTAGTATGTTTATATGTTAGCATTAAAACGTTTTACTTCCTACTTATTATATCCGTTTAAAAAGGTTTTAATTTTTTATAAATTACAATAAAGTGCCAGCGTTATGATTTATAAAAACGGTTTAGAAACTTTCTAAACCGTTTTAAAGACTTGTTTACATGACATGATTTGAATTGCGTTGAAATTTTAAATCAACGGTCTGTGTTTTTTTTGAAATTTTAGATAAAGACACCAGACAAAATTTCGACTTCTTAGGATGGTTCATTTAAATTCTGTAAAGATATATGAGTAGATTTTTGATCTTTCTTTTTTTTTGTAAAAAAATTGGGTTTTAATATTGAAAAATTTGCAAATTTAATTAATTCAATTACTTACAAGAAACTAAATTTTTGAATAAGATAGGTAGAGTAGCCAAAAAACTAATTAATCAAATTAATCCAAATTAATCAAATTTTTGTCTAGCTTTTTGGTCTAAAATAAGCCAAAATGACTTTAACTCTTTTAAAAAATTATTCAAAAAAAAAAAAAAATACCTTGATGCTTTACAAATTAACTAGTAATTTAATTACCTGTCGTGGTTGAAATTTATCAAAACCTCTTTTGTTCTGAATTATTGCCTATACAAAACTCCTTAAAAACAGACTGCATGCAATCCCTATTATTATCAAACTGTTTTACGCCTTGTTATAAACTAATATTATTTATTAATTACTATGACCACAGTAGCAGTCCATCTTATCAATTAAACCGAAACGTTACCAAGCATCATAGCAACACGTCTATTGTCCTTTTTTTTATACTTTAATTCAACCTTGCTTGACTTTGAGTTTGAACTTTGACCACAGATTATTATATCATTATAGCCTGTACTTGGACAACACTTATTTTAACCTCACACACCGGACACATGATATTTAATATTTTTACGTACAAATGGTGTAATAGGTATGTAATATTTAGCTTACTATGCGTGTATATAGAATCTAGACAACTGGAGATTATCTTTCATTATGTACTTGCATTGTCAGTTTAGTTCACTTATACTTATTTTTAAAAATATGATTTGTGTTCCAGAGTTAAAGAAGTGAAGAACTAGCTAAGAATTATAATTATAATGGATAATTATAACTGCGGGACTGTGATCAAAATAGAGGAAGAAAATGATGAATTAAACGAGCAATTTACCGGATCCTTAGTGAAAAAAACAAAACCGAATAACATTGAAAAAACTTACAAGAATTGTCTGACAACCCACAACAACCCTCAAAAAAATATCAACCAAAACACATATAAGTAATGTCATTTTTTAATTAAAATATTTTAAATACATTTTGTTGAAAAATAATAATAATATAATTAATATAGCGGTAGGAATTCCATGATAAATAACGCGTTTGTAATTTTCCTTAAATTTGAAAAAAAGTAGTACTTTCTGATACAAAACAGTTACTGTTACATTATAATGTGGTGTGTTAATAACAGGATGGTCTGATAGAGATCTGTTCGATTTTGGGCATACTTGGACCAAACCATAATACAGTTTTTATTTGTGGTTCGGTTTATGTTATACTATTAAAATGCTTAATGTTTACTTTTCCATACTATTTGCCAGTATGTAATATTACAGAATTTACATATTATATTTTGCAAAAGCATATAGATTTCCAGCTAGTAATAATTATTGCTTTTTTATTTATAGATTTTAGTTTATATACTTAATTTCTTATCTAATAAATGTGGTGAACGTGTGTTTTTTTTGTTGTGTGGCTAAACTTATGTATAAAATAATAGTATTAATTAGTAGATAAATTATATGATAATGTTACAACATTTTGGACTAAACTATCAGTGACCCTTTGTACCAAATATGCAACATACTTATAATATAGTTTTATTTTGTTAGAGAAATTACATTTAATTTAAATGGCGTCCTTTATTATAGTTATTTAAGAAATTGCTATTTATCATAATAGCAATTTACAAACGGGATTTTTCAGATGTTTACTTTTTTAATTATCTGTCCCATTTTCCTAGTTATTTAATCTATACAATATAATATACCGGGTGATTGGTTAACTATGGACCACTCAATATCTTAGAAGATATTAGACTTTTTTAATTTTTTTTTTTTTATACTATTATAGTTAATAGGTGGGACAAATTTAATGTATTTTTCAAAATTTTAACACCATCCCTTATGCGTTAAAACCATATCAACTTTAGATTTTTAAATGGTAACCCCCAATTTTTTTTTGATGATCGTGTTTATTTTTTTTAAATTTAATTTTAGGCGTAAAAACTATCTAAATCAGACAAGTACTTTCAAAGTTATAGCTTAGTACTACAATATTATAATATTAGCTTATATGAGATGCTTTTATAAGTTTTACAACTAAAGAAAAAAATTGTTTATCGCCGGATCTCACGTTTCACAAAATAAGATTGATTAACGATACGGTTGTAGATTAAAGTTAATAGTTGACGGTCGTCGGTCACAATGAAAACGAACTAATAATAAATCTATAATAATATTATATGGGTAATGTCTTCTTATCTGTTTTTTCTGTAGTGTTCCTAGCGGTGCGGTGTACCTGTACGTATTGAATATTAGGCATTAGCTGCTGTTAACAAACAATATTATAAGCCCTAGTAAATAGTTTTTTTTTTTCAATTTCAACCATAGGTTACCGTGGTCTAATCACGGTCTTATATAGAGTATATACCGTGGTTCTACCAAAACAATTCGTTACTAGCGTAGATTAATATCAACACAGAACAAATTATTATAAAAATACGACTACTTGAAAACTAATCAAAAAGTTCATTATTCTAATTTTTCAATTATTATGGTTATTTAGCGTCTTGGGTTTTACTTTAAATATTTAGCGTCTTGGTCTTAATAAGTATTACTTGTACTGGTGTCTTAACTAGTCAAATTATTAATTCTGTTAGTGAAAATATTTTTAAAAAAACTAATAAATAACATTTAATTTTTTGTTTTTTTAGTATAATATTGTATTACATACAGTTAATAGATAATATGTACAGAATATATACAGAAATAAACAAAAACTAAACTTAATATGTACAGAAACTATTTTAGCATTTTTGTTCGAACTGGTTTATGATAGGTACATAAGATGTCAAACAACATCTTTATAAGGCATCTATTGTGTTTATTAAAATGTTTAGATAACAAAGGATTCCATTAGAAATACGTTCATCCAATACTTGTGCAGTAAAATAAATTTTCATTTTTATAACTTAAAGTTGTAACGCGTCAATTTTAACTATTTCTAGTTCAGTATTTTTAATTATTAAAAGCTGTATTTATTTATTAACTCTTTATTATATTACCACCTTAAGCCTATACTGTATATATTTCATAGTATTGACTATTCTTACTTATCTTAATGTGTTCATATGAACAGTAAAAGTATATTTCTTATTTAATAAATGGTTGTTTTTCTCGTTGTACGAGGTATAAGCAAAAATTTAGAGTGAATGATAAAGTACAATTTTTTTTGTTTTTGTACGGCTTTTTTAACAGTCATAAGCATAAAATTTAATAATAATATTACTAACAAACATTTAAATACTATATTATGTTATGTTTATTATGATAATAGTAAAATAAAAAAACAAGTAACAAGATAAATAATACGCTTATAAGATACGAATAAACATTTTTATTTGCTAAATCATATTAAAAAACTAAGACTAAATAAAATTAACATATCTATAATTAACTTGTAAATAATAGAGGTACAACATATTGCTGTATATAGTGATGTAGTTATAGGAAGTTACCTAGGGCGGTAAAGTTTGTTTGATGATTTCCCACTAGAAGAAATCCATCTCCATTTACATATTTAAGTTAAAAAATATTTATAAGTATATTCATTCAATTTACTTTTTTACACTTAATCCAAAAGTTAACATTTTTTTTCTTTCTATTTTGTGTTTTATAATTTTATTTACTTTATTACTTATAAAAACTTAATCGTAAACCACTAGAAAATTGTCAATAAATTCTGTAATAGCTAATGCCAAAACTATGCCATCATGAAAATAATTTCAAGATTTGGATTAAGACAATAACATATTTTAGAAATATTAACATTCTCAGCAGCATTTTAGATTAAATTAATATTAAATAAAGAATTCATCATTAATAATTAATAAATAATGTATAATAATTATAGATATGTTAAGTATATGTGTGTTTAAATACTTAGAGTTTAAAAACTTTATGTCACTTTTAAAATGATAAAGTACTTTTAAATTATTTTATTGAATTACATTTTTAGCTGAATAAATAAATATATATAGTTGTCTAATATTTAATTTGAACTTGTGAATCCATCTTATTCTTCTTACTGACTTAATGGAAAACTGTTATCTGCAATAGTGTGCCACAGTAACTAAAAAAAAAATAATAATAATAATAAATTGTTAGTGATGAATTCATAGAAATTAACTAAATTATTGCAAGCTGATGATCTTATATATTTTACCTTAAAATAAAACACTTATAAATTTACTGAAAATTAAATACCACAACATTCGACAATGTATTGATGGAATTAGTTTAGACTGATTGACTACAATAATATAATACACCAAATTTGACGTTGGTAGTAGTGTAGTTGTAGACAATAACAAATATCAATTTAAGTTGAGATAGTCCATATTAATATTGAACATACTGAAACATATAATTAAAATAAATTAAATAAGTTTCTTAGATACTTAAATAATCATATGGTTAAGCAACAAATATCAGTATACACATATATTTTTTATAATTATACAAGTATGATAATTTTTAAGTTAAACGTTAATTTTTAAGTAACACATTATAATTAAACATATTAAGTATGATAAACATAAGTAATCCAAAAAATGTATTATGTACAACATTTTATATGTTCATGAATAATAAAAAAAGATTAATTATATTTTTCTAATAAAAAAATGTACTTATACAATACACCTATATCAATAAATACATTATCTTACCTATTATTGATTCAGTAAACGATGATTGAAGATTCAATTTTATCATAAAAATTTTTATATTTTTTCTTTGAATTCAGATACCAATATGTTAAAACACAAAACTACACATTTATAAGTTTCTCAGAACAAAGACATAATACTGTAAAAATAAAAGTTTTAATTAAAAAATCATCAAGCATAATTCAAATTATAATAATATTTATTTTAAATAACATATTATTATTATAAGTACCTTTAATTTTGATATTTAATGTGCATACATTTTATAAGTAAGGTTTTAGGTTTTATAGACTTGTCACTTGAGCAAAACTCCATCTTGGTATTCACATTGATTATGGATATTTAATATCAATGTTATTATTTAAAACACAATAAATGTTGACAAGTTCCTAGATCTAGACTCTAGTAAGTTATGATACTATATTATTATAATATACTATGAAATTAAGACGTACAAATCGCATGAATAAACAAAATGTGTCAAATTAACCAAAACAAATAATTGCTAAATGCTGGAAAAATATACACAAGATATTGATAAAAAATAAAACATACCTACTATTTTACAAAATAAATGTAAAAGTGTGTAGTGGTGGTATATTTGTCAGTCGATATAGCGGTTATCATTATTATTTACTATCGGTGAATTATTTACCTAAAGTAAATAGTGTTTGGTACGGTTATGATTTTTAAACGCTACAATAGCTATTGTCAAAGTTAATTGTCAATAAATAATAACAGAGAGTAGTCACATAATATGTTAGCGTCTCCAAGATATTTAATTTATTTTTTACACTCCCTTTAATTTTAAAACTGTGTAGCTCGTTAACTACTCAATCGATTTAGCTAGTTTTTACGCCTAAAATTAAATTTAAAAAAAATAAACACGATCATCAAAAAAAAATTGGGGGTTACCATTTAAAAATCTAAAGTTGATATGGTTTTAACGCATAAGGGATGGTGTTAAAATTTTTAAAAATACATTAAATTTGTCCCACCTAATAACTATAATAGTACAAAAAAAAAATAATTAAAAAAGTCTAATATCTTCTAAGATATTGAGTGGTCCATAGTTAACCAATCACCCGGTATAGGTATTTCAGTATTGAAAAAATTTGGCACTGAAGCGTTACATTTTTACAAGCAACAATAAGTACTTCCATTGACGGGACACAAATTCGTAGAAATGGAAGAAAGAAACATATATAGTTGCACAGATTTAGTTAAAATATAAATATTAAATAAATAAAAAAAAATAAAAGAATACGGCTATTGACCTAACTAACCGAAACGTGCGTAGTAACACCTCCTAATATCAATAAATGGTCATATTTTTGGAGTTAGCTGTTGCTTATACCAGTTTTTTTTTGTAAATAATAATTTTAACAAACCTTTTATTCCACTGGTAGTAGCTAGTACATAATTATATGCTAAAATTCATAGGAGATATTCTTTATTACATTTTTAGTTTTAAAAAACATATATTTTTTGTTTCTAGTGTCGGAGAAATTTGCAATGAAAAAATAGTGAAAGTCGAAGTTGACCTAGTAAATGGACTTTGCTTCGAGTCTGTGATTGAAATTGAAAAAAATGTTCTTTTGGATGTACAAACATCAAATTACAGTTTGGAGGAGATACAGTCATTTGAGTGCGATATATGCAAAATGTCATTTTCTACAAAAAGGAAAATTGCCCGACACATCACACATTCACATAGTGCACAATTGTCAAACCAGAAAAGCACTGGAAAACAAGTCGTTGAAAATACTTTTATGTAAGGCTAAGTGTTCTTTTTAATATATTAACTTATCATTTGTTCTCAACTTAAAATGAAAATACCAATTGATTGTTCTTAAAGTCACACATTATTTACATACTGTCTAATTTGAGGTCCAACAATTTATGTTCTATAATTTATATAAGTTATAGAACTGATTTCGAATTTGAGAAAAAGTTTTATTCTTATACATAAAGGAATAAAAGAGTTTTCTTGAAAACATAACATTTTCCCATTAAAATTACAAAAATATTGTATCAACATCCAACAACTGGATGACTCACATTTATGAAGCTGGACTTGTATTATCAGTCCGTTTGTTTAGTTCAAAAATCAAATAAGACTGTATAGTAATAATATAGAATTATGAGATTAATTAATTTTTTTATTTCGCCATTGTTAATTATTTTTCAATAATATTTTGTTGTAGGAACAAATGTACGAGAAATGAGGCGAATAAAACTGATGATTGTTATTTCGAATCAAGGATTGAAACAGATTACAATAAACAAACAGCATCGAATTATAGCAGTTTAACAAGCGGTCGGTTATTCCAATGTTATTTATGTCAAATGTCGTATACCACTAAAACGCAAATAACTTTACATATCATGAAATCCCACAAAAGTTCTACGAACAAACACTGTTCTCGTAAACCAATTAACATCAGTCCGTCCTATAAATGTGAAGTGTGTTCAAAGTCGTTTCCTAAAAAATACTATCTCAAAATACACGAACGTGTGCACACTGGAGAAAAGCCCTACAAATGTTATGTGTGCTCGAAGTCATTTTCTCACACATCCACACTCACAATACACAAACGTTTGCACACTGGAGAAAAACCCTACAAATGCGATGTTTGTTTAAAATCAGTTTCTGATAAAGCCGACCTCGTAAAACACATGCGCGTGCACACAGGTGAAAAGCCTTACAAATGTAATGTTTGCCTTAAATCATTTTCTTTAAGTTCCTCTCTCACTAAACACAAACGCGTGCACACTGGAGAGAAGCCCTTCAAATGTGTTATATGCTTAAAGTCATTTTCTGATACTTCTTCCTTAACATCACACAAACGAGTGCACACTGGAGAAAAGCCCCACAAATGTGACTTGTGCTCAAAGTCGTTTAGTTCAAAATCAGGACTCACTAAACACAAACGCGTGCACACTGGAGAGAAGCCCTTCAAATGTGTTATATGCTCAAAGTTATTTTCTAATGCGTCTTTCTTAACACGACATATACGCATGCACACCGGTGAAAAGCCCTACAGCTGTGATTTGTGTTCAAAGTCCTTTTCTGTACAATCCAACCTCACAACCCACAAACGTGTACACACTGGAGAAAAACCCTACAAATGTGTTGTATGCTTAAAGTCATTCTCTGAAAACTCAAAACTCACAAATCACAAACGCATACACACTGGGGAAAATCCCTTCAAGTGTGTTGTATGCTTAAAGTCATTTTCTACAAGCTCAAAACTCAGACAACACGAACGAGTGCACACTGGAGAAAAGCCCTACAAATGCGATATATGCTTAACGTCATTTTCTCGAAAAAGCCACGTCGCACAACACAAACTGTTGCACACTGGAGAGAAGCCCTATAAATGTGATGTGTGTCTCAGGTCTTTTAATCAAAATTCGTCCCTCACAACGCACAAACGCGTGCACACTGACCAAAAGCCCTACAAATGTGATGTATGCCTAATGTCTTTTAAACATAATGAAACACTTATAATACATAAACGCGTACACACTGGAGAAAAGCCTTATAAATGTGACGTTTGCTTTAAGCTTTTTGCTCAGAACTCTAACCTCAGAATACACAAACGCTTGCACACTGGTGAAATGCCTTATAAATGTAATTTGTGTTTAATGTCATTTTCTCAAAAATCCAACTTAACACGACACGTACGCATGCATACTGGCGAAAAACCTTATAAATGCGACGTGTGCTCAAAAACATGTTCTCAAAGAAAAAACCTCATTATACACAAACGCGTGCATACTGGAGAAAAGCCTTATAAATGTGATATATGCTCAAAGACATTTTCTCAACAACCCCACCTCAAAAAACACAAATGCGGTCCACCGGCATGAGAATCTTAAAGGTTTATATAATATATGTATTTACCCTGCAGACTTCTTAGTGATTGTTTGACATGTTTTATTTATATTTTTAATGTATTATTATTATTGGACATATTGTATTGTTTTGTTATTTTTTTTTTTAACATTTGTATTTTTTTTTCTAAACACTGTTTAATACAAATTTTGATCGATTTAATTGATAATTTTGACAATTTTTATAATTATTTTTAACATCATGTAGGCGCTATTAACATAGGTATTACATTGACATGACAGTCCTCCTATCCTACTAGCAGTTCGGTTAGGGTATTCGACATAATCTGAATTAAAGTTAAAACAAGTACAATATTAAGAATTTTTAATTCGTAAATAATTTGTCGAGAAACATTTATTGACAACGTTTGTTTCACTAATTGTTTTCCCCTAAACATAGCTACGTAAAATGCAGATTGTTTATTTTATGTTGTAACCAGAAGTTTATGTCATTATGGAGAAAATTAACAAGTTTGTCGCCAAACCTATTACAAAAAAAACTACATCAAGTATACCTAGGTAATCTCAATTGTTTTAATTATTTATAATATGGCGATATGTCATAGTGTACAATAAATAGCAAAAAGATATTTACATTTTTACTCATTGAAATCAAAATTCAAACTCGCATCAATGTTCTCCGTCGTTAATTTTCTGTAATTAATTCGAGATCCAAGGTACAACCATGGCTTAAATAAAATTTAATAAAATAACATATTACTTAAATCATGGGTAGAATATTTTTAATTTTTAAAACCGGGCCCATATTGTCTTATTAATCTATTATTTATTAACTATGACCACGGTAGTAAGTAATCCATCTTATCAACTAATCAGAAACGTTATCAAGCATCATATCATTACTACCACAGTTTATTCTTTAATAAATATTTAATTATTCTGTGTTACAACATGAATCTTGCTGGTATTAGTTTTTCTATACTATTTCTGAGTTATATCTATTGTTTTTAAGTGTCAAACAAAACGTGCAACAACGCAACGAACCAATAGTTCAGTTAAGTCAAAGTATACATCTTGGTCAAAATATAGTTTACCGTTTTAAGTTAAAGAATATAGGTACCTAGATCATTACACAAAACAATTACTTCATATGAATTCAACTATCCTGGTGAGAACTGGAAAAAATGATGTAGAAAATAAACACGGATAAAAAAAATATACATCCGATATATTTTATGTTACTTGTTGTTAAGCTAAAAGCAAGTTGATTACAATTAGACAAACTAGATAGTTTAATATTGCTAATTTTAACTTCAATGCAGACCTCTAAGGTATTGGTTTCACAATTACACCAATTCAAAATTGATAAAAACAACCTAGAAACACGGCACACTACAACTTTTTTTATAAATAGTCTAATTTATTTCAAACTTGTCTAAAGTGTAAAGAATGTATCGTTGTGTTAATATTAACTGAGATTAAGTAAGCTTGTTCTTCTACTGCTGGTCTATAAGTTAAATCACACCAAAAAAAGAAGAAAAATTATCAACAGAAACTGACGACTAGTGAAATTTGTTGGAACTGTGTAAATGCATCATACCTATGACTACTGTAAGGTTTTCTCTCTTTAATTGTAAACTATAAATAACAAACCTTCAAACATCTTTAGTTTCAAGATTTTTGTACATCCACTATACTTATCATTTTTTTTTTTTGTACCAAATTATTATATTTAAAATTTAGGCCTAAAATCAAATTTCAACAAGGGAGAGACAGCTATAACCTCTACATTCTGCCACCTGTTATCACTGTTATTTATTATATATAAAAACAATACCTTAAGAGCTACTCATCAAAGCTAAAATAGTGGATATAACAAAATTGAACGAATTTCTATGTCATTAAAAACATGTGGTATACAACATGATGTAACATAATTATTTTTTTTTTTTTGTAGTATTAACGAATTGTGGAAAGAGTCGGAAAAAAATCTAAAGCACTCGGTTGAAAAAACACCAGTGAAACATCATCTGGACAGCAAAAGCAAAGGATATAACTAGAAACAAAGATGGCCGTTTTGGTTGTGAAATCTGTTTAAATTTATATGTCTACTGAAAATGCACGAGCGTACGCATACAAGCGAGAAACCCTTTAAATGCTATGTCTGTGAAAAATCGTTTGCCCTGAATGAAAGCTGCTTGAATCATATCCGCTTGCATACTGGAGAGAAACCATTCAAATGTAGTGTATGTGAAAAATCGTTTGCACAAATTCAAAACCTAAAAAGCCATGAACGCGTGCATGCCGACAAGAGCCTGCGTGACTGTAGTGTATGTGGAAAATCTTTTGCCAAGATTGGACACCTCAAGTGACACGTATTCGTGCATTCTGCTGGTAAGAAACCATTATAAATCTCATTTTATGACTGCAATTTTGCAGTTCTCAAATTGTTTTTAATGATTTTTTCATCCTTAACACTGAGTTGCTGAATATATCAATACGTTATCATTATTTTTTTCTATTTTTCTAAATATTACTAGTGTTTATCGAACTAAAAACATTTTTGAAAATCTATTTTAATTGTATTTTTTAACAGATTACATAAATATCATAATACACGTTTAGTTGAATTATTTCTCGTTCTCCAGTGTAAACGTTTTAAAGAGAGTTGCTGACTTTCAAAATAGTAGGTTAGTTTATCCATAACAATAATTTAGTTTCTACTCATCAAATACGATAATATTCTTCCATGATGACTATTTTCAAAGGTGATATTGTATTATTGTATGTGTTGTCCTATAATTGTTGTTTATAACATAGTCAAATTTTAACTTTTTCAACTTATACTTTTAATGTTATAAATAGTGTTTATAAGCTCCTGTCGCATCGATTGACAAGCAGGAATTTTATACTTCAATCTTGATCACACACTTCACAAATTACTTTAAATTTGTGTTCTGTTTTTTTTTATTTATAAAAAATTCTTTTTGCTAACTCTAATTTTAATTTATAAGATCCTAGTTTCGTTTTGACTGTATCTATACGTTTTAATAAACATTTGGTGGTGGAAGGACAGTATAGGACAAGTACAATGGTCCTACAAAAGTAGGACAATTAATAACTGACCAATCACAATAATAATAACAATAATTTTTTTATTTGGAAGTATTGAAATGTACATATATCAATATTTCACTGTATCGTCTATCACTAAGGATAAAATCATTGTTTTGATAGACATGATTCTTTAACTATACTTATTATTTATTTTATTTAGAATAATATCAAGCAATAGAAGTATATAATCTAATGGATTTATATTGTTATGGCGACAACGGAAGGCCGAAGGCTATCGCTTCCTTTGCATTTCAACACGCAAAGACGAAGTCTTAAGTCAAGTTCTAGAAGACTGTCAGTGTTCACTGCTCTTATAAATTCAAAGAAAAATAGTACCCGTTGTCCTCCTAAAAATTACAAACATAACATAAATAATAATAAAAATTTGTTTACAGCATAACCGAAACATCAAATTATAAAATTGTTCAATAATATCGTGAAATGATTGGCCATAAACAACAGTTTGAAACATTCTTACTACGTTTTAAACATTTTTTATTATTATATTTATTTATTGAAATAATAAACCTCAGCATCCAAGACCATTGACCATTTAACATAATTATGGCTTTTGATATTAGTATATTTAAAAGTCAATTATTTCTTATTAGCTAAAACTGAATATACATACCTAATATGATTTTACTATGATAAAATGTAGTTATTAAAAATCACATTTACCAAAAAAAACTCCGAAATCAGTCATAATATCAGCTACTTCTTCCGAAGTATAATATTGACTATATTCATCATCTACATTGTATTTTAGCTTAGATGTTTTCATGTCGCTGTATGTAATTTGGAGTCCTAGTGGTCCTTCTGAGGCAATTTTTTTAAATTCTTCTAAATAAACCTAAACATATTTTTTTTTTTTTTAATCTTCTAACAAATGCTAACCAAGCAAGCCGTTTTTTTTTGTTATATAATTATTTTTTATTTTGTTATAAGGACCAGTCAACACTTTAAACAAAAATTTAGCATTCACAGTTTCAGTATTTTTTTATTAATAGATAATTAATCTAATTTTAACGCAATTATATAACCGTTGTGTGCACTCAATTTGTATTAGGATTAACATAATAATAATTACATAAAACTTACAGCTGTAGGCCATCTTGGTATATAGCCTTTTATAGCGATCTCGGTAAATTGGGTTAAATTAAGTATGGCTTCTTCTTTACCTAGGAAAATCCAAATTATAATGCCAGTAGGTACCTACAGCGGGGACGGGGGAGGTCACAGGTCAACAGGAATTGTTATGACTGTAAGTGATACTTTTAAATCAACGTTTCGATGCGAATCTGTGGTTAGTATGTACATACCAATACAGTCCAAACCAAGCACAGTAAAAAGTATTATATGCAAATGAGTAATAGTAGATATGTAGTAGTAAAAACATAAGTAAGGAAGCTACTAGACCATTCACAGATAAAAGTATAAATATCGGTAAAAGCATTATATCTAATGACAATTATATTGTGCTTAAAAATAATAATACTGGGGTATTTATTTTTAATACTAGGGTGGGTACGATTAGGGTTGATCGTCTGTCTATAAAAATGTATTGCCATAGTTACCCGTATTATGTATATCGTAGTTAACAATATAATGAACATATTTTCATATAAAATATGTTACACATCATTGTAAATCTAAATACCTACAATACCTTCTCAGCTCCGCATCGAAGCTAAACAACTCTTTTAGAGCGTTATTGTTAATAGTTTACCTATATAATCACTTTTAAAGTTATCAAGTGTTAAAAACTGCATTACCATTACCTTTATCATTCTTACATACGGTTCCGAAATTCAGTGTCAAGACTTGAAAATCATCTTCTGCCACCCTATAATACTCAAATAAATCGGACGAATTTATATAGTCTTTTTCGACACCTTTTATTGCGTTCCATAGATAGGTTATTTCCTAACATTGGTAAAACAAAAAAATACAATGAGATTATCATGTTTCTGAATAATAAAATATATGCCTACTTGATATAATTATTTATAAATACG